TTCCATCGCATTTTCTAAATTATGCAGACTTTTGTCATCTAATGAGTTTATAAAATCAGCATTTTGCTCGGAATCAATATAATTTTGATCTTCATATTGATCCCATGGTTCTTCTTCTTCTTCATAACTTTCCAATAATAGCTTATTATTGATATCCCATTGATCTTCTTCACTTATGGCTTTCTCCTTATGACTTTCGGCTTTATTCTTAATATCGGTATTTTCTTCGCGTTTAATATTATTCTTTGGCACCACTGGGTTACTAATGACTGGTTTTTTATCCTTTATTAATCTTTTTATTCTCGAAATTTCTCTAATAAAGAATAATTCTCTTTCTCTTATTTTAGGCCAATCTGATGTCATGGAATTATTATATTCCCAGTTTATGCGTTTTAATTTTTCTTCCCAATGTTTTAATTCATCTTCTAAGTCTGCCTTTTCCATGCATTCTTTTACTCCTTTATTCCTACTATCACTACTCTCTACTTCTGACAAAAGAGGTACTATTTCATCTACAGCTGCGGATTTATAGTTCAAGAATCTAATGCTACTACTTCCTTCGCTATTTTGGTAGCTTATATAATTTTCTGGCTGCTTCAACTCTTTCTTTTCTATTAATTCGCTTATATTCCATTCCTCTCCTGCTCTCTCTTCAGAACCAATTTTAAGAGGGCTCATAAATTTTATGCCTTTAGATTGCATGCTCTCTATTACGTCATTTACGTTTACTTTGCATCTAGAGCTTCTTTTATTCGCGAGTCTTCCTATGAATTCAATGCTTACTAACAAATTTCTTCCTTTAAAATCTTCATATCCTTTGGTTTGAAACCCAAAGCTCATTTTCTCAATAAATTCTTTTACAGGCATCATTAAGTCTGGAGCTATATATGTTATTAATCTATTTTCATTCATATCTCCTTCCATAAAGCCTAATGATGCTTTGTCTACCGACTCCCATCATTTATCAAGTAATGTAATTAATACCTTCGTTCCTAATTTCTTTCTTGTCATTCCTTTTACTCCTATAATATACATCCCTTGGTGAATATATTTGTAACCTGAATATTTAAGTTCATTCTCAATATTTTTGCTAACAATTCTTAAATCCACCGGATGCGTTAACACACTTAATTCTACTTCTCTAGATATTCTGCATAATCCGCTTTTACTTTCAAATATTCCCATGTGATATACCTGTTGCGGTCTTATTTTTCTTAACGTGTCTCTGATATCTTTCTAATTCATGATCCATGTCTATAACCTCTTCCAAATTATCTATGTCGTCACTTCTGCATGATATCCTATTCATCATGGTTAGCGGCCTAGAATCTTGCCTTATTAACTGGATGGTCTTGTCTCTTCTAGAGGCTTTTAGATAGTTCCATTTTTCAGAATTAATATTTTTAGAGGATGAGACTATTCTGGATGAAGATAATATCAACTCGTTATTACCTCATTTAGTATTTAGCTTTTCCAAAATCTGGACTAGTAGTTGTAGAATTGTGTTATTCTGCCTTATAATTATTCTGGAATCTTCTTTTGGCGAATCGTGATCCGAAAATCCGACAGAAGGTGTTAAGTATTTTTCTACTTCTTTTAATGCTTGGCAATATTCACTCATTCAACTTATGATACGACTAGATTCTTTACTTCTTGTATTAACCTTTTAACTTCAAGTATATCGCGTCTTGTTTTAGCACCTGATAATGAATCTTTATTCTTATTTACGACACAACTTAGATTCTTACCAATGGATAAAACTTCTTCTTTAATATAGTCGTTGTTCTTACAAATTATAAGGTTTCTACCTTTCGATTCTTCTAATTTCTGTAGAACTAGATCGATTTTATTATTCAAGCCTGCGTATTTTTCTACTAACTTAGTGTGTTCTTTTAACAGACTTTCAAATTTTTGGTCTAAATTATCTTGCCTTTTCCCCAAGTTATATAAAGGTTATGAATGAGGTCGACAATTAAATTTAGTTGGCTATGCCTAGTATGCCACGTATGTTCTTCGGAAGGATTTATTCTGCACCGTATGCTAATATTTTCTTTGGTAGCGATTAGTCTACCTGTACTAGTTTCTAAATTCAAATACTTTAGTCTTTCAATGATTAAAAATCTGGCTGAGATACCAACACACAAATATATTATCAATTAAAATATAAAGTACTTATTAACTTCCTATGTAATTTAAATTTTGTGAAATTATTTAATTAACTAATTCTTAATTAATATGCATGATCTTTTACGGGTTGGCGAAACCAACGAGACAGCCTATGGGTATGCAGCAGTTGTGTTAATCCTACTCGGTACTCTCCGTATTCATCGCTATGTTGCTTCAGAAGCAGCTAAGTTCTTTCACTTGATGTTTATATTACAAATTTATTTGATGAATTCCTACCATCTTCCCAGGCAGTTCCACCCGAAGGGAGCACTTCTCTACGGCCACAAGGTTCGCATTCAAACGCCACACATCGGCTAAATAGAGAACTACCGGCAGATGTTTCTCCTATAGGATCCCTAGCGTAAGAACTCATTTCATAAATTCATAATATAAAAACCAAGTAAAACCCGAAACTACTTCATTTCGACAACATAATTTACATACGAATTTCCCTTTTGGGAGACCCCGAAGGGATTACAAAGAGAAAAAGAGGACTACCTTCTGCCTATCTCCACCACTGGATGATACAATGCCTCAAAGGCTTATTACAAACTGGAGATGGCTACTACCAACTACTACTACTGAGGAGAGTGAGGGAAGTGGTGATCTGGTGCTTGCGATGCTCTGGAGACTGGTGTTGTGTAGACTGTTGTTGTGTGTGTCTCTCCGCGCTCAGTCCTCCTCCTTTTATAGTGCGCGAGGGATGCTGGATGCTCCCCTCTTTTATTCTTCTGCGTCATAGCTGGAGGCCGGGGTATCTCGTAGCTTGACACGCCTTATGCACCGTTGAAGTGCCTCAGTGTTTGCGACATCAAGCCTTGCGTGACTCCGATGCTAGACTGATATTTTTGTCTAGACTGAGAACTTTGTCTAGACTGAGAATTTTGTCAAGACTGGAATATTTGTCTTGACCGCGAATTTTGTCTTGACTGGAACTTTTGTCTTGACTGGAATCTTTGTCTTGACAGATGATTTTGTCCAGACTGAAGCTCTTGTCTTCATTGCAACTCTTGTTCTTGTATGCACCGTGCTATGAGTTATCCATGCACGGTTGAATATTGTCTTCATGCAACTTGGATGAACGGTCTTGTCTTGAATGAAGACCTTTCCTGATACGGATGTTGCATGGCTGCATCTTGCATAATTATTCTTGCTACCATTATTATTGTTATTATTATTATTATTTTATATTATTTTTTTACAAAAATATATTAAATTAAAATATAAAGTACTTATTAACTTCTTACGTAATTTAAATTTTGTGAAATTATTTAATTAACTAATTCTTAATTAATATGCAGGATCTTTTACGGGTTGGTGAAACCAACGAGACAACCTACGGGTATGCAGCAGTTGTGTTAATCCTACTCGGTACTCTCCGTATTCATCACTATGTTGCTTCAGAAGCAGCTAAGTTCTTTCACTTGATATTTATATTACAAATTTATTTGATGAATTCCTACCGTCTTCCCAGGCAGTTCCACCCGAAGGGAACACTTCTCTACGGCCACAAGGTTCTCATTCAAACGCCACACATCGGCTAAATAGAGAACTACCGACAGAGGTTTCTCCTATAGGATCCCTAGCGTAAGAACTCATTTCATAAATTCATAATATAAAATCCAAGTAAAACCAGAAACTACTTCATTTCGACAACATAATTTACATACGGATTTCCCTTTCGGGAGACCCCAAAGGGATTACAAAGAGAAAAAGAGGACTACCTTCTGCCGACCTCCACCACTGGATGATACAATGCCTCAAAGGCTTATTACAAACTGGAGATGGCTACTACCAACTACTACTACTGAGGAGAGTGAGGCAAGTGGTGATCTGGTGCTTGCGATGCTCTGGAGACTGGTGTTGTGTAGACTGCTGTTGTGTGTGTCTCTCCGCGCTTAGTCCTCCTCCTTTTATAGTGCGCGAGGGATGCTGGATGCTCCCCTCTTTTATTCTTCTGCGTCATAGCTGGAGGCCGGGGTATCTCATAGCTTGACACGCCTTATGCACCGCTGAAGTGCCTTAGTGTTTGCGACATCAAGCGTTGCATGACTCCGATGCTAGACTGATATTTTTGTCTAGACTGAGAACTTTGTCCAGACTGTGAATTTTGTCCAGACTGGAATATTTGTCTTGACCGCGAATTTTGTCTTGACTGGAACTTTTGTCTTGACTGGAATCTTTGTCTTGACAGATGATTTTGTCCAGACTGAAGCTCTTGTCTTCATTGCAACTCTTGTTCTTGTATGCACTGTGCTATGAGTTATCTATGCACGGTTGAATATTGTCTTCATGCAACTTGGATGAACGGACCTGTCTTGAATGAAGACCTTTCCTGATACGGATGTTGCATGGCTGCTTCTTGAATAATTATTCTTGCTACCATTATTATTGTTATTTTTTTTGTGTACGGGTCTACCCCGCCCATATTATTGATAACACCTTATCAATATTTCGAGTTCTTTCAATATTCGGGTATAGGTCCTCCGTGCCCGAATAATTGATATTCATATCAATTCATATTTGAGTATATTTGATTATTGTTTTCCCTCTTTATTCAATTGGTTGCCCGTGCCCGGCAATGTCTGTATGGTCTGTCTCAGAAATGGTGAAATCGTATTTTTGATCATATTCTTTCTTTAGCTCTTCAAAATTTTGGTTCATTTTTGATCGTAATTCTTTTAAAATTTCTTCCTTCAATTCTGCCTTCATTGTCTTTGTAACTTCTTTAAGTTTTTCAACTATCTTCAATTTTATGTATTCTCTGTCCAAAGGATCAACTCCTTTGATAAGGCATTCTGTGTATGATTTATATTTTGAAGAATTTACTTCATTTATATTCTTTCTATCAGTTCTTGATACTCGAAATAACATCCTTTCATTATCTTGGCCCAATTTGCGGCATACTTGATTTCATCACGCCTTATTTGTATTTCTTCCAATGTCATAGCTATTCCATCGAACATAATATATGTTGGTCTTGGTGTAAAATATACTGCAGGGTTATTGATATTAGATTGCATACAACCTTTTTCTTGTCTTCTGATTATGTCCTTAATATCCAATAAGCATATTTCCATATCATAAACTTGGATATGATCTTTTGGTCTGAAATTGAATGTATTTGGCGGTAATATCCTTATTCTGGTGTTATTTCCAGATATGTAGCTTTCACTTCCTCCTACAAGTGTGTTTCTCTTCATTCCTGTAGAAATGATGATCAGAGAAATAAGTTTGGTAAATTATTTTATTTGCCTTTAATATGATCATGTATGACTTTATATCTATTCTCTGTTATGCTGTCTTCCATGTTCTGGTAGAACCTATCTTGCTATTTATTTGGTTCTATTATTTGATCTCTTTCTGTTATTATTTGCTCTTCTATTTCCGTGCCTTCAACTATAATGTTCTCTTCTTCTGTATTTGCTTTATTTTCTAAGTTAGATTTTAGATCTTCTAGTTCTGCCTCTAACTTATTTAGTCTATTTTCTAGATTTCTAACTCTGCTAGATAATATTCTATCTTCAGGTTCATATTCTATTTCTTGTCTCCACCTTTGATTCGTAGATTTTAGGCCTGAGTTACAAGCTTGTCTTAAACATAAACTACATGTATACCTATTCTCTTGGCTGGGGTAATATATGCAAAAGGCACATTTTATATTATAGTCTCCTTTTCCCCTAATCCAATCATGTTCACAATCTACCTGGTTCATCATCTCTATTTTTAATCCTGATAGATCATCTATTAAATCGATTTCATCTTCACTAGATTCTTCTTCTAGCTCTTCATTTTCTATTTCATCTGTTTCTATGATGGAGTATATTGACTCATCATCTTTTACTTCATCATCACATACTAGTATATTCTCATTAACACTATCTATAATTAATACTCTCTCTTGCTCTTCATATTTACTAGAGTACCTTTTCTGATCTTTATTAGGGCAAGTTTTACTTAAATGATCAGGTGAATTGCATATGAAACATCTACATGTTTTATCATATGATTTTCTAGGATTATATCTTCTAACATTTCTTTTATGCAGGAATGGGGCTCTATTATCCGATCTTCGTAAGAAATATCTTTTCTTTGTTCTAAAATTTCTATTATCTCTTTGTGGTTTATAATATTTCTTACTCCTGTGTCTTTCTTCGCCATATGTTAGTGGTATTTGGACGATTTTATTGCAGAAACTATAATCGGATTTCTTCATAGACCTCTGGGCCTGTATACTTGTACATACCTTTCTAAGATGTTTAAACACAAACGTTATAAATTGAGATATATTTATGACTATGCCTGCAGTATCTTTCTTATATTCTTCAAATATTATTGATCCTAATGGATATGGTAACCTATTAAAATACCTTTCAACCACACCTTTATTGTAGCCTTGCTTAGCTGTGGTAGCATTGTATAAATAATGTTGAGAAAATTCCTTTATACCTTTCCAACTTGTTAAAGTTAATTTTTCTATTTCTCTCAACCTTTCATTTTGCAATGTGGTATGACCCAATTCTGGATCTTCTGCTATGACCATATTTGATATGACATTGGCAAAGTTATTAGGATTACTCCCAGCTCTTTTTAGTTCTTCGTATTGGTCTGGATATGTCTCTACCCATTGTTCCCAGAATATTTTTACTGATTCTCCCAAAAATGTTTCAAGATATGTTATCATATCTTCCACCTTATTCCCTATATTATATTGATTTTGTATATATTTTTGGACTATTAATCCTTTCCACACACTAATTATATTCGGCCAATCTATAGGGTCATGGGCTGTTAAATTCAGAATTGCACCATCATTCCTAGAGTTTTGGAACTGCACTGCCTTTTCAAAACCTCTTCTTTTAGAACCCATAAATGTATATTGTCCAGGGATATATGTAGGTTGATAATCATCTTTTTCAGGAGGCCATTTTCCAGAAGATCGAGTAGGTCTCTCTCTTTCTCCTTCTCTCTTTACAGATGACTCGCCATAACCTCTTCTTCTTTTATGACCACCTAAATCTACTTCCATGGCTTCCATCACATTTTCTAAATTATGCAGAATTTTGTCATCTAACGAGTTTATAAAATCAGCATTTTGCTCGAAATCAATATAATTTTGATCTTCATATTGATTCCATGGTTCTTCTTCTTCTTCTTTATATCTTTCTAATAATATCTTATTATTGATATCCCATTGATCTTCTTCACTTATGGCTTTCTCTTTATGACTTTCAGCTTTATTCTTGATATCGGTATTTTCTCCGCGTTTAATGTTATTCTTTGGCACCACTGGGTTACTAATGACTGGTTTTTTATCCTTTATTAATATTTTTATTCTCGAAATTTCTCTAATAAAGAATAATTCTCTTTCTCTTATTTTAGGCCAATCTGATGTCATTGAATTATTATATTCCCAGTTTATGCGTTTTAATTTTTCTTCCCAATGTTTTAATTCATCTTCTAAGTCTACCTTTTCCATGCATTCTTTTACTCCTTTATTCCTACTATCACTACTCTCTGCTTCTGACAAAAGAGGTTCTATTTTGTCTACGGCTGCGGATTTATAGTTCAATAATCTAATGCTACTACTTCCTTCGCTATTTTGGTAGCTTATATAATTTTCTGGCTGCCTCAACTCTTTCTTTTCTATTAATTCGCTTATATTCCATTCCTCTCCTGCTCTCTCTTCAGAACCAATTTTAAGAGGGCTCATAAATTTTATGCCTTTAGATTGCATGCTCTCTATTACGTCATTTACGTTTACTTTGTATCTAGAGCTTCTTTTATTCGTGAGTCTTCCTATGAATTCAATGCTTACTAACAAATTTGTTCCTTTAAAATCTTCATATCCTCTGGTTTGAAACCCAAAGCTCATTTTCTCAATAAATTCTATTACAGGCATCATTAAGTCTGGAGCTATATATGTTATTAATCTATTTTGATTCATATCTCCTTCCATAAAGCCTAATGATGCTTTGTCTACCGACTCCCATCTTTTGTCAAGTAATGTAATTAATACCTTCGTTCCTAATTTCTATCTTGTCATTTCTTTTACTCCTATAATATACATCCCTTGGTGAATATATTTGTAACCTGAATATGTAAGTTCATTCTCAATATTTTTGCTAACAATTCTTAAATCCACCGGATGCACTAACACACTTAATTCTACTTCTCTAGATATTCTGTATAATCCGCTTTTACTTTCAAATATGCCCATGTGATATACATGTTGCGGTCTTATTTTTCTTAACGTATCTCTCTGATATCTTTCTAATTCGCGTTCCATGTCTATAACCTCTTCTAAATTATCTATGTCGTCACTTCTGCATGATATCCTATTCATCATGGTTAGCGGCCTAGAATCTTGCCTTATTAACTGGATTGTCTTGTCTCTTCTAGAGACGCTTTTAGATAGTTCCATTTTTCAGAATTAATATTTTTAGAGGATGAGACTATTCCGGATGAAGATAATATCAACTCGTTGTTACCTCGTTTAGTATTTAGCTTTTCCAAAATCTAGACTAGTAGTTGTAGAATTGTGTTATTCTGCCTTATAATTATTCTGGAATCTTCGTTTGGCAAATCGTGATATGAAAATCCGACAGAAGGTGTTAATTAATTTTCTACTTCTTTTAATGCTTGGCAATATTCACTCATTCAAGTTATGATACGACTAGAGTCTTTACTTCTTGTATTAACCTTTTAACTTCAAGTATATCGCGTCTTGTTTTAGCACCTGATAATGAATCTTTATTCTTATTTATGACACCACTTTGATTCTTACCAATGGATAAAACTTCTTCTTTAATATAGTCATTGTTCTTACAAATTATAAGGTTTCTACCTTTCGATTCTTCTAATTTCTATAGAACTAGATCGATTTTATTATTCAAGCCTGCGTATTTTTCTACTAACTTTTTGTGTTCTTTTAACAGACTTTCAAATTTTTGGTCTAAATTATCTTGCCTTTTCCCCCAAGTTATATAAAAGTTATGAATGAGGTCGACAATTAAATTTAGTTGGCTATGACTAGTATGCCACGTATGTTCTTCGGAAGGATTTATTCTGCACGTATGCTAATATTTTCTTTGGTAGAGATCAGTCTACCTGTACTAATTTCTAAATTCAAATACTTTAGTCATTCAATGATTAAAACTCTGGCTGAGATACCAACACACAAATATATTAAATTAAAATATAAAGTACTTATTAACTTCTTACGTAATTTAAATTTTGTGAAATTATTTAATTAACCAATTCTTAATTAATATGCAGGATCTTTTACGGGTTGGCGAAACCAACGAGACAGCCTACGGGTATGCAGCAGTTGTGTTAATCCTACTCGGTACTCTCTGTATTCATCACTATGTTGCTTCAGAAGCAGCTAAGTTCTTTCACTTGATGTTTATATTACAAATTTATTTGATGAATTCCTACCGTCTTCCCAGGCAGTTCCACCCGAAGGGAACACTTCTCTACGGCCACATGGTTCTCATTCAAACGCCACACATCGGCTAAATAGAGAACTACCCGCAGATGTTTCTCCTATAGGATCCCTAGCGTAAGAACTCATTTCATAAATTCATAATATAAAAACCAAGTAAAACCAGAAACTACTTCATTTCGACAATATAATTTACATATGGATTTCCCTTTCGGGAGACCCCGAAGGGATTACAAAGAGAAAAAGAGGACTACCTTCTGCCTACCTCCACCACTGGATGATACAATGCCTCAAAGGCTTATTCCAAACTGGAGATGGCTACTACCAACTACTACTACTGAGGAGAGTGAGGGAAGTGGTGATCTGGTGCTTGCGATGCTCTGGAGACGGGTGTTGTGTAGACTGCTGTTGTGTGTGTCTCTCCGCGCTCAATCCTCCTCCTTTTATAGTGCGCGAGGGATGCTGGATGCTCCCCTTTTTTATTCTTCTGCGTCATAGCTGGAGGCCGGGGTATCTCGTAGCTTGACACGCCTTATGCACCGCTGAAGTGCCTCAGTGTTTGCGACATTCAGCCTTGCGTGACTCCGATGCTAGACTGATATTTTTGTCTAGACTGAGAACTTTGTCTAGACTGAGAATTTTGTCCAGACTGGAATATTTGTCTTGACCGTGAATTTTGTCTTGACTGGAACTTTTGTCTTGACTGGAATCTTTGTCTTGACAGATGATTTTGTCCAGACTGAAGCTCTTGTCTTC